GATTATAAGGAAAGTGGTCGTTTGGTATAGTTTGTTGTGTATTAGATTGATTAGATTGTAGGTGCAAATTAGTACTAGTATTAGGTTGGATATCAAGAAAACTTAGATTATGATTAGAATTGTTATTTGGTATATGTAGCATATCAAATTGATTAGATTGTAAGTACAAATTAGTATTAATGTCTGGTTGGATACCAAATGAGCTTAAATTATAATTAGAGTTGTTACTTGGTATAATATGTTGTGTATCAGATTGATTAGACAAATTAACACTAGTGTTAGGTTGGGTATCTAAAGAGCTTAGACTATAATTAGATTTATTATTTGGTATAATATATTGTGCACTAGTGTCAGTATTGAACTGATTAGATTGTATGTGCAAATTAACGCTAGTATCAGGTTGGAGATCAATGGAGCTTAAAGTATAAGGAGAGTTGTGATTTGGTATAATCGAATTAATACCAGTAGGAAGAGAAAGGAAATTTGGAGGATTAAATCCAAGTGAGAGATATTGACGTCCATCATTCGAATTATAAGAAATTTTGTCATTCGGTGCGGCACTTTTTTGTATGTCTAAGTTAGGAGAACCTGAGCTGTCTACTCGCTTCAATGAATCCAACGCATCTTTTATAATAGGATCAAAGGTAGAGCGATTCCAACCATATCCACAAGTTTTATTATGAGCTTTAATCTTCGATATGTAATATTTCAAGGTAGAAGCTTTCACCTTGCGTTGTTTAACTTTGTAAGTAAGATACCCTTTCAAGTAACTTTCTTCAACAGGAAATCCTAATTGACCTGGATGTGAGTCGTTCGTAAACGTCATATAATTTTTAACGCCATTCCCCTTTATAGTTTTTTTTGGATTTTTTTGTCCGCGAGCCATTCTTCCTTGAGCTTCTTAATGATATTATTTTTTTTTTTTTTGTTGTGGAAAACCGCCACCGTGAGTTGGTAAATTAAAGATAGTTGCCATACAAGATGTGTCCTCGCCCTTCTATTTATTGATGTTGTAAATCTATGTAAAAAAAAAAATATGCATTTGTATAAAATAATACGTATACGTAATTAAACACAAAATGCGACGATACGGATTTTGTGCCAATATTTTATTATATTTTATTATACAAAGGAATAAAGGAAGCTATAGTAGAATCCCATTTAAGATAGCGATAGGTTAGAGATGTCAATATATTGATCGTCGGTCGTACGTACCGATTAAAATGTACTGTACGTATGTTTTAATACAATAATTTTGAATATAAATGAATTTTTAAAAAAGAATTGATTAAGGTACAAGAAGTATCACAAATGAAGCATTTAATCAAGGAATTGACCTAATCAAGGAATTGATTAAAATTTAAGAAGTAATGGTTGATACGCAAAGACACTGTTCTTGACCCCATCCTAAAAAAAAAAAAAAAAAAAAAAAAAAAAAAAAAAAATGCATATCGTTTTTGACCATTATTTGCAAGCATACATTCATATCGGCGGATTTGCGGAATTGGATTTACATGGGTTTGTAAAATGCACTCTTAATTTTAGTGACTAAAAAATATATGATTGCTATTTAATTAAGTTTTTATTACATGTATGTATATAAAAATAATTTAACAAAAATAATTTGAGTACCGGTAATTAACAAAAAATAATTTGAGTAATTAACAAAACTTTGTGTCGTTATTGTTAATTACTCAATTGATTTTATACGTACAGTACACCCATGTACTGTAAATCCAATTCCGCAAATCTGCCGATATGTATTTAATAATTGTATTGACTATTCTACACATCATTTGTGCTTGTAAAAAAAGATTGTATAATATTTAAAGTTGGCAAATGGTCATTTTTTGCGCGAAATGACGAAATGATGCATTTTTCTTATGTATAAAAAATTGGATTTATTCTAAATTATTTGCAATTAAATATATATATATATTATTATATAGGTTAAAATATATCGATATAATTATAAAAATTAATAATATTAATTAAAAATACCCAATGAAGTAAATTAAGTAATAAAGCAATAACGTACAAAATACCAACCCTAATAATATCATTCTAAATAAAATATATTTGTTTCATCCAGTTTTCTTGCATTTTCAATTTTCTTAAATTATTAACCCTTTATGATTGGGTTAACCTTTTTTTTTTGCTGGAGTTTAGCTTAGTTGGACTAGAAATAAAGGCATTTTCCTATATAATATACTATACATTATTTAATAACACTCGTACATATGTATGTATTTCATCTAGACAATATCTAACTGATATCATTTTTCTATGTACTAAGAACTTTTGTTATTTTCTTTCTCGTATCGTTTTGAGTTTATTTGTGTCTGTTGTATGCACTTATCAAAGTAACTAAAAGTTTTCAGATTTCTTAAGCGATCGATAACTTTTGCAATACTTGGGTGTTTGGCTCGATACCCAGGGTTGGCAATGGATAAGGTCCATTGAGAAAATTATCAATGGAACCAATGGAGCGAATGGATAGTATCCATTGGCTCCATTAAATTAAACAACTATATTTATATTATTAATTATATATATACTCTAATTTATAATATTAACTTTTGATCCACTAATCCGTTTGGATGATTTAATTACCAAAATGATTGTCTCGACGAGAGGATTCTAACTAACTCAAAATCGTTAAAATCCAATCGCATGATCTAGAGATCGTTCAAAGTTTGTACGATTTTAATAAGAGTTTTTAACTCTTATTAAAATCATAACGGTCTCTAGATCATGCGATTGGATTTTAGCGATTTTGAGTTTGTTAGAATCCTTTCATCAAGACCAACATTTTGGTAATTAATGGATCAGTGGACTAAAAGTTATTAGTAATTTTATAAATTAAAATATATAATATATATATATATATACGTATTATGATTTATAATTATTATGTTGGACTCCATTGCCTCCATTGACCAATTATCCTCAATGAAGCAATAGACCAATATCATTGGAGGCCTTCTCCATTGGGCCCAATGGATACCGTATTGTTAAGAATTAGAATAAGTAAAAAAAACAAAACAAAAACTTTGCTCAATATCGCTGCATTTTAAATTCAAACCCAATGGCGTAACTTTTTTTTACTAAGTTGTAATTACAAAACCAGACTATATTTTAGTTGAAAATAATCTAAAAATTTATTTTAATAATCATACTTAAAAAGGAATAAATGATTACTATTTTTTTTAGGATGGGCCAGGAAAAATGAATTTTTGCGGTTGTAACCGTAATAAAAAAAATTGTGAAGTAGTCCTTGGTAAAAAATGGTGATTTATGTATGTAGTTTGGTTGTGTTCGTCAAGGTAACATGCAAAAGTCATTAATTCGTTCTTGTGCTAA